GCGCCAACTGCGCACTCACCTCTCCACCCCAGCATCCCATTGGTGAAAAATTTGACAATTCGTACTATCGTTTCAATGACTCGTGAAACACCAGGCACCATCCTGAGGTCCGATCAGTAAACTTCATCCCACGCAAAGCGGATTCCAAATATTTGCTCTTTGGAAGTAACAATCCGTAATCCAGACAACACTGTGCTTTTAATCTCTCATTAGAAATAAGGAGATCTAATAAGAGAGAAAAAAGCTAAGGATCTCACCATCTACCTGATTCGCATTCATCAGTTGAAGTGATTAGCCATGCCTGCGGAAAGTAGGGAAAGCTACAGGCGCTTCATTTAGACAGTGAATATGATGCCAGTTGCACACTGCTCCTCAACGCTTGCAACGAAAAAGACCAACAAACTCCGAAGGAGATAAGGCAGGTTTTCTTTCCAAATGAAATCGTGTACCACAAACACATCCCAAATTTGACCGTCTTTCCTAAAGTTAGTCCAGCTTCTATGATAACAGTGAAGAGGAGAAAGTGTCGTCAGTCAAAAGCGACATTAAAAATGTTAGAGAGCAATTATTCTACTATTTGACATCTTTCACAATTACTTAGAGAAAGAAGAGTTTAAGCCCTTACGCCAGCAAATCACGAAAGTGACGACTAGGAAGGTCGGAGAAATGAGCCAAACTGAATTATCGCGTGTCACTGGGACAATTGCAGGTGTCGTGCCTCAAGTGTGATTCAGTCAATGGGTGAACTCATAGCCAATCACTTCGGAGCGTAAAAATTCGCCTCTACTTGACAATTCAGGCGCTCTAATTCAACCATCCATGATGCTACGTTTTAAAATCGTAAGTGGCTCCTGCAAAACCCGTTCATTTAATAATCTCGTTAAGAAAGAACGCAAATAATCGACGTTTTCACTGTTGTAAGCAAAAATTTGACGTCGTCCGACCTTCAGTTCCGTCCGCAGGAAAACTCATAACTGTAAAGTTTGCAAAGCCTTTTGCACTAAAATAAGAACGAACTTCAGTGGAACTAATGACCAATTTGAAGGGACTAAACATCCAACACATTAGCTACCACGTCCACATTTGAGACGTGTTTACTACAAGCGGAAGGCCTTTAAGACAGACAGATCTTAATCTATTTTTAACGTTCACAAGAGATTGACAATCAGCGGCATAAGCACCAAAAGCGGATGTCGGCACACTGATGACTGAAAAGACCAACTCATCGGTTCCTTCCATGCACACGGTCTCCCCCAGTAAATTTAAATGTGAGTCTAAAATGCGATAAAAACCTCAGCTAATTCGCGTACACACACACTCACACACAGAGCATCCCATGCGTGACATGGAACTTTAATGTCCCCTCCTCCCGAGTGTCACTGTCCATTAGGCCGTAATCACGCTCGGGTATGTAGACACACACGGTGAGGGGGAGTGGATGAATTTGAGACCTCGCCGCAACTCATTTTGTAACTTGTTTACCAATCATAAACACCATCGCAAGTGCTTTAAATCCATCTTTCACGACTTTTTACGAACTACATTTTTGCCAAAAGGGTCAGTTACAAGGGGGTAGAAAGCCTAGGAAATTTTAAATGTTGGGCTAATTAAGGTATTTTAAAAGGATCTACCCTCTACAAGTCATGGAAGCAGGCTGACCTCAGTGAGAGGACCTAGTTTGTGCATCCCTTAACCAATACAGCATTTTTTCCTCCCTCGACTTGTTATGTTAGGAGCCGGTATTTTGTCTTTGGTGCTAGCACTTACGGAAACAATGAATAACTTTAAATTTTCAATGAAAACGAAAAATTTAGCGACGAGTTACCCGATGCAATGATACGTAGTCGTATCAAATTGCCTCGATGCTGGCTTGACATGAGGCTAGCATTAAAAGGCTGCACCCCAATTTGGTTTAAGTTGGAGAGTAAAAACACTCAACTGCGTGGGAGACCTAAAGTATGATCAAGGCAGGGGACAGTGACCAGTTGCTCAGACCGCGGGTTGACAGTAGCAAAGTCAGACACAACAATGCAGGTCGCACAGAGCTTTCAACTTTAGAGGGTTCTGGTAAAGCCTTACTACTACGAGGATATTAAACGAACTAGTTGGTAGCATACATATTTCATTATTGCCAACAAAGGGTGGCGCACATTTCTCGATTCGGTCAAGTCCACACACCGCTGAACAGACAGTAGTAGTAGTAGTGGTGGTGGTGGTGCATAAGTAGATGCATGGGGAAGCATAAAAAATACTTCTCATTGGCAGACATTGAAACGTGCAGATAGGGGTACCTAAAGGGATAATGCTGCACACTACCCGACATGTCCCTCACTCCAAATGGTATCATCTGTTCGAATTTCCATAAGAGTGCGTCGGAGGTCAAGGTTTTAATGCCAGACCAGAAATGAATCGGGCAGGACCGGAGTAAATTATTTGTCCTGACAAATCTTCTTGTAATAAATCCCCGTTCCGGGTAGCAATTTAATGGGTTATTAAATACGCAAAAACCACTTACTAACCCTTGAAGCCCAGTAACATAATGCAGAAAACACAAGTTCCAATCTTAACTGTGCATCCAACTAGGCAGATGGACTGGCAATGGCATCTGAACTGAACAAACTACTAAACCAGCTTCGCTCACAAAAAGGGACAAAGGCAATGGCCAAAGCGAGTAGTTTGGTGGATGCCACAAAGAAAGCAGAAGTACCAACATCACAAATGACGGTGACTAAGTCGGTGTGAAAGCAGTGGGAAATTCTTGTGTGACGTAGCGAAGAGCATAATTTATGACCATCAGAAGCCGAGCACAAGAAAGGAGGAGAATGTGAATCCGCCACCAGCCACATAAACGCAACATACCGACACCAGAGCAAATGCATCTCGATAAACCATTTTGTTGATAGAGGCGGTAGGTGAACCAGTCACTTTGTTACTGTAGATGGCATCATTGGTTCATGTACCGTTTTATCCACCTCCTGTGTTTGCACATGAACGTTTGTCTACCGGTTGGAGTGCAAAAAGTCTCCAGACGCGGATCTAGTATCAAATTTCATCGCATTGTGGTCAAGAAGGAAGGCAGAGGAGGAAGATGTGGAACGACATTTTTGCACGACTACTTTAAAAATCACAAGCTGCCATCCAACAAGTCGCCAAACTAGCTCAGAGACGAATCCTTCTTCAGTATAACGAGTTCATAACAAAACTAAAGCATTGAGTTCATCCATAATATTATGTCAAAAGGTTAATTACAATCCCATCGACACATACTAGTCCAAGACTTAAATGGACGAGGAGTTAGCAAAAAATGAGCCAAATAAGGGGTTGATAAACAATGGATGAAATTTGGCAGATTTTGTGGTTGGGAGAAGAGAATGGGATAAGGATGAAAATATTCAAGGTAAGTTACCTCCAGACGAAACTTATTCAACTACACGAGATCCGCATGACATGGATTTTCAGCCCTCTGGTTGAGTCATAGTTGAGATAGCAGGAAACGTGATAAATGACCATAATTAGTAGTTTGTTCTATACCGTCAAAATATGATGTCTTCTCTGTACGGCACACATTGCGCCGGCAGTCTAGTTGGAATTTTGACAGGCTAAATTATGGCTCGGGGCTCGCTATGCGCTCCTCTACTTTGCTGAACCTTCAGACTAACAACAATCTGTTCAACAACGTATTGTTTTACAAGATCAGTAGACTAATTAATGGTCGGAAAATGGTCTAGCATCAACTGATTTTAGAGTCGCTAAGTAAAGTCTTCATTTCTCTCACAGCCGGCTGCCGCATAAACATCACTGGCGTGCCAAATTCTGGTGTTTATAATCATAACTGTATTGTTTTGTTGTTGTTGTTGTCAAAATGTTGAAATGATTTACAATACCTCCTTTTATTTAGAGTGGAGAAAGGTGAGGAGGCCTATGAGTGACCAACGCAGCAACCAAGCCCAAGTTCCTTACGGAAAGTGCACAGTCAAATTTTAAGGTCATTCGCTCGAAAAGCGCTGAGTGGGGTGCAGGCGCCCGAGTGGAGCGACTGGGTGGCGCCACGAATTTTCCTTAGGTCACTGACTATGACGAGAAAATTGTTGCGGATGATGGACGGCTGAATGAGCTGCAGAAAATGAGCTCCACTCACAAAAAAATACTAGAATAAGTCTCCATTAAGCAACGGTTGGGAGTCAGTATTACATAATCTGAGGCAACTCTAAAAAACTCATTCCTAAGCTCTGTTCCGCCACTTGGGTGGCGATAAGGTCCACGCAAGCGATATACGACCGCAACCCGACGGTTGAATCTTGCTGATTACCACAAGAATAATGTACCATATTGGAAAGATATTTTGAGATGTTCCACAATGTAAACGAACCCATGCCTTTCTCCATACTGTAACCGGCGATTAGAAAACCTGGACGCGCGCAATGAGCCGAAGTTTGGGGGGATTAGCGCCATAGTTCAGTTAAGTCATGTTGAAGAAGACCAGAACGGAAAAGTATTGTTTTAAGCTAGAAGATTTTGCAAAACAGAAGCATGCATTTTGACCTTATTCAACGAAGGAGAGATTAATTCCTTTCCGAAAACTAAAAACGTGTCTGTTTTGGTTCATTAGATGTTCCCCTTTCCTGGCTTGAGATTGATGATTGTGTTGGCTTTAGCCACGTACAGCTTATTAAGTAGTATAAATAAGCGAGAATGGAACTATTAGTCTTTGATTATCGGCCGGAAGTCACGTACGTACACGCCATACCTCTGGCTTACTCACACGCCGAAAATTGCTGCAGCTGAAAGCTCGATAGAGCCCAGGCTGACACACATAAACAGCTTATAATATGCCTTGAAAAGAGCGGAGGGGAGAAAGCACGAAAGCAGCCACTCAGCTAGTAACTTCGAATTAAAAGAGTCTCGTACTCACAGTAAAAACACAGATATGTAAAAGTAGTGGCGGTGACAAAAATTGAGAGTACAATGCCAGCCATGAGAGCAAAGCAACAAACACGTGATTATGAGTACACAATGAGAAGGCTGCCAAAGGCGGGAACACCAACAATGGACGGCGGTAGCAAGTGTGCATCCACTAGCGTAAGTGACAGGAATAAGTCTCTAGCTTAGGAGCACTCATTAAAGGCGAGGGAGGGCAAAATGGGGATTTCACCCACTTTTAACGAATTGCTAAGCAGGAAAGAGGTAATAATCATCAAACACAAAGAGCGCAACTTCTACACACTCCACATTGTGCACAAATAAATCAAATCGAGTGTGGCAGAACTATGCATCCGCAAAACGCGAAGATAAAACATCAGAGTATGGAGAGATCACTTCCGACCCAAGAGATTGCTTAACTACAACTCAAACGATAGACAGACCACAGGCAAGCAATTAATACGCAGTGAATCGGGAGCGACCTCCACCCATCTGAAGGCGTGACCCAGTGTTGAGAGAGCACAGTGGAGACCTAGAACACCTTGTTCGATTGTCGCTACCGACCGTGGACAATTGGGTGGCTACAGTGCCTCTGATGGGTGGGCCAGCCTCAGGAGCATGCAAAAAACCCAATCCCCTTCATTTTACTCGAACATGTGTGTCCAACCCAAGTACTAGGTCTCCACTTAGTTATGAAGAAGAACGGAGACGCTGCGAGGGCCAAGTGAACCGTGAACAAAAATGCGGTAGTTGTCAGTGGAGACAAGCTTTGACAAACAGTAGATTTGCAAAGTAAGCAGCACGTCGAATACAAGAAACAAACAATCAAATTGATGCTTCTTCGCAAACTGCCCTATTTGCCTCATTTTGCGCTTTTTATCTACAGCCTCCTTTCTTCGCTGGTTCACCACTCATTTGCATTTTATCTGACAGCCTAGTGCTTCATCTGACTAAAGTAGCTTTCACTTCTGAACTTTGTTCTAGCACTTCATAAGTAGCAAATCAAGGCGGTGCAAAAAAGTAGCATCAAAAGGAGGAAACGAATGTAAAACAAGGCTCGAAGACCCTAATAGACAGCATAATGTGATCATAACTCGCAAATGTCAACGATTAAAAGCGTCGAACTGGTGAACAAGAGAGCGAGGAGTGATTTATGGCAGTTAGGGCAATAAATAACTAAATGAAGAGTTGAAGTCATTCCTACCTTGAATGGCTAGAAAAATAGAGATGAAGTCTTTCAAAAAGTTCACGCAAAAAATAATTTATAAAAGCACTTACACCAAAGTCGAGATCCCAGCCAAAAGCCAAATTTTGTTTTCTCAAAGGGAAGTTGGACTCACCTGATTGGTTGTCGTAGAGAGAGTGAGTGGGACCGGCAAGAGGAGGTGTCTCAGCTCTTCGAGAATCGTCGGAAATTGATAAGGCAGAATCTTTGGGAGCTCCTCCAACCCCTCTCTGTGCCGCAGCCTGCAGTTTGCTGATATTTGTGTACACGGGAGGAGGTAGAGCCTGATTGGGGTAAAGTACCGACTTTTCTAAAAAAGGGCCAATGTTGATTTATTCAACTACTTTTCATGAATAGGCAATTCGTGAAATGGGAAAAGTAGAGAATCCATACGTCTGGTGAAAGGACTGGAAATAATATTAGTGTTTAGTCTTCACGACGAGAATGGCCCACTTTTCCCACTTCAACTATTAGCTCGGAAACCGCAAGGCCATGAATGAAAGTTGGCTTTTGTGCGCTACTCAACAAGTGGAACATCTAAAACTTCGAAGGTGCAGTCAGTTAATGAACGCATAGACCACGTCGGCTGATGATTGAAATGAGAGATTCAGCTCCATCTAGTGAAACGAGCCCATTCCCCATGCGAGAAACCGAAATCGACACCATAATCTACCTACGAACTGGCAACAGGGTCCGGCGCTAGCCTTATAAATACTAACTGCTTTAACAGATTGTCAAGGCAACTTTGATAACTTGGCAGTTTTTGCACCAAGACGTGAATAAGTTTTCGCGATAAAATCGCATTTTAACCGTTGCGATAAAGATAATAGCCAAAAGGACAAAATCTTGGTGAATGTTTCCTATCAATGTGGTTTCGGTACATTAAGTAAATTACCCAAATCCAACTCGAAACCAAAGGTCGCTAACAGAGCAAATGATTGCAAATCCACTTAAGGGAATTCAATGAGTTCCGGTCTGTCGATCGCATTCAAATGCAAAAAAAGAGCGAAAGGCATCCAAAGCGTTGGCCCCGGGGATAACATTAACCATTTTTGCTTAGTTCAATGATAGAGAGACTATGCACGTTTTTGTGACAGCGAAGACTTAGGCGAACAACGCTAATGGGCCAGATTCCTTAGCCGAAAGTAATCGGATTCCTAGACTTCGACTGGTCGAGAAAAGGGGATAGCAAAGCTACAATAGCAAGTTTTCATACAGAAACAAGGGCAGACTTAACTGGTCACCTTGAATCGGACAAACTCTGGTGCAGAAGAAAGGTAGGCTTACAGGAGGTTAAGTACTTATGGAAGCATGGCGTCATGCACTACTTCAGCCTCTCAACACCCAGCTGACTTTTCAATACGCACTGTCATCAGCTGAGTCACTCCCAGGACAGGGTTGCGATGCCGCCAAGTTAACGATGACATTGCTGTACTGCGATGCACCAAACTAAATGCAGAATAGTTTTTAATCTACGAATGAGGATTAGGCGGAACTTGGCAAGATAGTGGGACCATGTCATGACTTTGGGTCACATCAAACGTAGTTAAAGGCGACACTCGAAGGAACATTGATAACACGCGCCTTTAAAATAATCTCGATGTGAATTGTAAAAACGGATGTGAGTGAGACAAGACCAACTGCAAAAGACGTGATTTGGTGTCCGTATGGAGGCCAGAATGGCTTTTACACACGACCATCAGTTGTCGTCGAAATGAACAAATCTCATCACATCTCTTCACCAAAGCGAAAGGGTCTCCGCAAATTACACAATTCCGATTTACGCGTTGGAATCCACAAATACCTTTTACCTATCGGTTATTTCGAGACAGAAATAGAAAAAGTATACTGGAAATAATGACCGCTTTAGAATGCTACGCGTAGCTAGCAGCGTATACATGCCCTAGACGAACACGACCTCTTATTCAGTTTTCATGCAGACCCATTCCCACTCGGGATGCGAATGCCTACTTGCGATGCGCCTCCTCCAACCTGTTTCACTATGATAAACTGAAAGGGAAGAGAAAATCAAGTCAGCGCTCAATATAACTCCCTAAACACTAGATCAACCGAAATTGACTTAACACACCAAACTTTTGCAGAAGTTAATGTTCCGCTTAAGATCCGCCTTCCGTAAAAATATGCCCAAAGCACATCGAATAAACGTAGAAATTGAAGTGTAAAGAGTCCACAACCAAAACAACAAGTTGGTGGTGAACACCCCCACAAGCCGACAACATGAGAGTGAAAAGTTTCATTTTTTGTGTGACTGGGATAAAACGGGGCGAAAGCAAGCATTTGGTACGTTATGAAGGTATTACCTCAGCTCCCTTTCTCCTTCTGTCGTTTTTAATGCGCATGCACGTGCTTTTCCTGTGTTCACCCAACACATCCCAACTTAATTCACTCATCCGCTGGTGTTGCAGCCACCAGCCCAGCAGCCACTTGTGGGGCTGACTCAGCGCGATTCCGCGTACGCACAGGGGCGCATGTTCTCCCTTCAGCGTGGGCGGACCTGGTTCATGCATACACCCCAATGTGGAAACAATTTATTTTTTAGGCAAGAAATGAACAGACTGTACCCAAGGGAGATCACCTTCATCAAAAATTTATTTTGCCTTTTCATGCTAGGATAAGCAAACCAGTCGGTTAAGAGCTCTTACATGAGTGTATTACGGTAGAGGTTGAAAAAGTAAGAGAAAACCTGACCCTGCCTAATTATCGCTGGACTCGTCTGTACTCAGGACACGATAAGAAGTAAAGATTACACAGGAGTAAAAACGATGCACTTCCGAAAATCCTAAACAGTACTAGCACAACTTTGTGTGTTGGAAGAAGTGGCATATAGGGAAGGGTATTGTAAATTGGCCAATGACGCCCTCAGCTGCGCCACACATCAATAGAAGATAGGAGTTGGATAAAATAGAAAAGGGAGAGATGTGACGGAAGCCTTATCGAGAGTCTATCAAAAAAGCTGACAAACCACCACCGCTGTCCTAACTATAGCATCTGTATGCAGATGGGGTCATTCCGAGGTCACGGGCAAGTTTGTGGGTATGTGCGCTTTTCGCCACCCGGGTCAGAAAAGACAGGTCTGAGTAAGTGGTCATTGGGTGGTCAGGGGAACGATTTGGAACCTCGTGAACAGTAAAATCAACTGCACTGATCTATTCGCAACTAAAGAGGACAATGTCTTAAAGAATGTGGAGCACGCTGATTGGGAAGATAATAAACAGTAACTAACATGCCCGCACCCGTTACTGGCATTTGATACACCTTTTAAAGCCGGTTTATACACAGATCTACCAACCAAATTTAGGTGGAGGTAGCCCTTGAACCAGTAGCAAATATATGAGGCGCCCCAGTTCAATTCGCAAAGAAAATCAAGCAATTCAAAATGCGAAAACAAAGTCAACGGTGCCTAGTTCAAGTACTCGGAGGATGGCACATCTATTTGCAAAGAGGTGGGAATGGAGCAATGAAATCAAAACCTTCCTGGTTAAATGTTGGCTGCATTGTGAAATTGCTTTAACATTTAAACCACCTCTTTCTCTGTTTTACCCTCTCATCGTTTGGAGCACCTGTACTGCGTTTCACCAAATGATATAAGCAAAATTCGTGACTCAATTGTCGGTAAGCTATCTTCCAAGGGAAGTTTCACTACCTCGACGAGCTAATCGTGAAATATTGGTCGCACGTAGGCTGCACAACAGACGTCTAGACGGGATGACTAAAGTACCTACTTCTTTGTTTGTACATTAATAGACGATGGGCTCAAAGCTGACTTCGATTGCCTTCAACACTTCGGAAGGGGTAAACTGCTGTCTGATGCATTTAAACTGAATACTTTTAACTCGTTTCTGCCAACTAGCGCAAATATTTGGGAAAAATGAGAAGGAGACGAATCATTTCAACATCGACTTACCCATTGCAGCAGCCGCCGATGAAACAACAGTTGAGGCGCTAGCTGCAGCAACAGAAGATTTCTCGGATTGTAAACCAGCTTCTAGAGTTTCGTCGTTCTCGTCGTCTTCGGTGAGACAACCCTCTGTGGTTCCACCGTCCTCCTCTTCCTCTTCGTCATCGTCATCCCCGTTGTTGCTCAACATGGTAGTCTGAAGTGGACCACCATCCATGTTTTCGCCCAGAGCACTCGGTGAGACCGAGTCATCCACGGATCCAAGACCTTCGAAATGAAGGGGGGTTAGTTTGGGCAGTTTTAGACATCACTTAAGATGACTTGTATTAGAGTTCCTTAATACTTTACCATAACCTATGGAAAATCGCATGAAAAAAACGGAGATAAGGCTACACCTTGCTGATTTTGTTCATCCTTTTGATAAGAAGCCAGGAGGCTTCAATAGGAAGCTTCCAGAAAATCTGGGAACTGTGTACCCTTTTTGCGGCTCTATCCTTAAAGGATTGCAAAAAACCTTTTCTCCCAGCAGCTCAGCCATTATTATAATCCTTCTCCATTCTTCACTGCTACACTGAAGCCGCTCAGAAATTCATTTTGGTTTTGCCATAAGGAGGAGTTTCATGGACTTAAATTTAGTCAAGATTCCAATGCTTATTATTAATTTCCTATGCTTTTATTGTAAGTGGGCATAGATATCAAAATCAATGACCTCCCTTTCCGAAGGCTCGTAGCTTAAATTATTACCAGTTGATGTCTTCCAAATAGTAATCGACCAGGCTTCTCTAGAACACCACCAAAGGCTGAAATACGTTTCGGAAGAGTAATAACCACTTCAAGAATGTCTTAGCACACGGCCACCATTCTACTGCTACGAAGACTGGATTGTGGGTACGATTATTGCGATTACCAGTCCACGAAGGTAAGCGTACAAGCAGTACTTCATGCCAGGACTACAAGCAGTGCAAACTTGACTTTTGAAGGAGGTGCTGCTACCGCTGCTAGGTCAAAACGAGGGAACACGGAGGGACAAAAAACTCAGGAAAACCAAGGTAGAGGTACGCGCATGTGTTCAAAATGAGTCAGCAGATACCACCATTGAATCTGTTTACTATGATAAAAATAATAAAACGTGTTATTCTCAGCTTCAATTTGCGAACAGGCATGTGAAGCATACGATTGCAGTCCACTGCGTAACGATTCACAGACCATCATCCTGAGCGCCTTTCAGATCCGTTACAGTCAGCAGTCAACAAAGTGCTCGCTAAAATACAGAAGCTCCTGGCATTCCCAAGTATTAAGTAGTTAATGTAAAATTAAGTCAGCAATAAAACAGTATATTGTCATGAAAAAACACGCAGATTGACGTTCAATGCTTAGACAATATCGTGTTTAAGGGATCAAGTAACTTTAGGATGTTCAAATCCGTTACTCTTCTTGAGTAGCATGGACACTAATAATTAAGACATCTAAGGATGCTGCAGTTACTACAGTAAAGCCTCTGGACAATCATTTATGAAAAGTCCCATTTTGGCAAAATCGATGGACGATAAACAAAAGACTTCCCTAATAAGAGGTGGATGAATTTGGAATGGACGGAGGGAGGTAACCTACCGGAGACTGCATCACAGTTGATGGGGAGGAGACCGAGAGAAGAGGAGGAGGAGGAAGCAGAGTGGACTGTCGGAGCACCGGAGATAGACTGATTGTGATCAAAAAGGCTCAACACATCCCCTCCCGTAACACTGCTACCACCACCATTTAACAACGATTCAGCTGTCTAAAATGATAAAAGGCGAGGGGTAAATAAAAGGTAGATTACCAGCACGGCTTCGTTATCTGAACTCTGCCAAGTACCTGACAGAACGTTGACAGTGCAGAGAATGCGATCAGATGCCTCATGGCATTTGATATGCAACTGTTACGACAAGGGAGCGATGGAACTTACCACCACCACTCAGCTATCCTTCATCAATATAAGCTTTGCCTTTGGAAACCTAATTCACGAGTCTTCATGAAATTCAAATGCGACTTTTCCACACATGGAAAGTGTCACTACGATGGAACATTCAATCTGATACGGCTCAGGAGTTTTCAATTTATCCAAGGCCTCAACGGACATTGAGCCCTTTTATTTTAACGCCCTGTAAACCTCCCCTTCCTTAACCCACGTTCAAACGTCGTAGCAAGTTTCAGAACTTCCGGCCAATGTCACCTACAGGTGGACTTTAAATGCATTGACAATCCTCATAAGGCCAAGGCTATTCTGTGCCTCTGACGATCAACTAACAGCCATGCGCACCCACGTCACATCGCCGGCTTACACCTACGACTAAGGCGTTCACGTATTGAAGCCTTCGCCTTACTTATTGTGGCTGGATGACAGTTTTCCAATCCACTGCACATTAATGGCAGTTTGAATGAGTCAGATGCAAGATCTTTAGTTTCGCAAGTGTTTTTGAAGAAATGTTCGATTTGAACGAATTTCTCTCAAGCAACAAGGCACTGTACAAATATACTGAAGCTGGAGACAGTAACAACGAGGGCATTCCTGCGTTTCCTTCAAAAGTTACCTGTTTCTTCCCTTCCTCCAGCACATTAGTTTTGTTTCTTCACAATCTTGTTTTCTTATTGTAGAAGAAGGAAAAAAAGGGAAAGGAATGCACATCAGAGAAAAAAATTGGAGGGGTTCTAGAGAGTGTGACAGAAAAGTTGTTTAGTTACGAACTGACAGACCACTTTTTCGGAAGCAAAAATGGAAATGACAGAGGCGGTGTCACTTTGCGTTATTACTTGCTGATCGAATCACATCACCTCTATACACCTGAATGACGACAGCTTCGATGACTTCGCTTCAAGTCCAGCGTGGTGGAGGAATGCAAAATTTACGTTACATACACATATACCCATTAAAACACCCTTGAATGGAAGCAATGGAACTTTACCAACGTGTGGTTTTCAAAGACGGATGGAAGTAGATACAGCAGATAATAAATCAACGAAGTAATGGGTGACATAAGGCGGCGTTGGGATTACATCAATGAGGATACCTTTTCCTTCTCCAAGGGAAGGGAAGTACGTTCTTCATATGCACTTGTCATTTTTGCACTACTGTTCTTGGGTTGGCAGTGTACTATCAATACCACTTGACAGGACGACCAGAGGACAAGGGACACGGTTTGAAATTGGAGAAAGCGCATTTGTTCCTCCAAATCTCGCTTAACCTGCTTTGACACACTGATGTCGCCCCAATTGTTGTTGACGACAAGCTCTGTAGACTTGGCATTTATTTCGAATCCCCACCTTGTAGGCACTTCAAATATTTTAAGGATTCCACTTAGCATTCAGAAATGCTGCTCATCGGTTCAGAAGTGAATTGTTTCTTACTTACAATTGACTGTGCTAATTTTAACAGAAAAAGCATCCATAGGGCGGTTTCGTATAATCTTCCTAATTCAATGACTGTCGATCATGTTGAAATTTCACGATATACAAACCACAAATACGTTCGCTCCAACGTCCCTTCATTTGTTTGGACAACACAAGGCACAAATTACTAGGTGTTGTACGCTATGCCTATATCAAAGACAAGTAAGGGCAAAATCGGTGTCCTGACGTAAACCTGCCAACAATTATCCTTTTATATCTCCATAATTGCTTCTACTTTGAGGAAAGAGTTAGCACATCGACTTCTCGGCCCTCTATTGGGCAAATCCGTCGTTTCGTTAAGATAAGTAAACCCTAGCACAAAAACCCTAGGCAAAAAACGTTACAGCAGATGCAAATTTTTTAATTTACTATTGATTAAGTTTGAGTTTTGGTACACCTTCTTGGTTCACCCACTAAATGAATTAGCTCTCCTTCACGCGTATACAAACAGGACATTGTGATAGTCGGAAACGCCCTCATAACTATGCTGCCCATATTGTTGGGCTGATGGCGAGAGGGTTTACCGCTGCATTTCAGGGCGCCAGTGTCGCAGTGAACTGAATGCAGGAATTACTACCGAGCTTCGCACCGAATAGTGGGGTTATTTCAGCCAACAGGTGAATTTGAACTACTCGCCTTTTGTTTAGCAAACACCGTGGTTTTTTTCAACTCGTTTTTAGTAAGGCGCTACGAGGAGATACCAAATCGACTGAAGAAAACAATGGATTAGGGAAAAACAGGGATTTCTTTACCACGAAAAGCGCATGCATGTAGACGGTGTCAAAATTGCGCCTAGTGCATTAAAATGTGCCAGAGCCTTTGGTCTTCGAACCAACCTACAGATGTTTAAAACCACCAAGCCTGCCGTAAGAAAGCTTTCTCGGTTGAGAAAAAAGAACGGGCATTATTCAACAGTTTCAGCATACTGTTTCTTTTATCCTTTGACCAAACAATTCGCCTCAACTCCTCATAGCGAAATATAATTGTATTTTCCGAATAGTTTAGTTCATTATTTCTCTTTGGTTTAAGCTTGTGACCAAATCAAGTCGGGTCCTCCATCAAGGAGACAGACTGTGTTTTGAACTGCAGGGTGGGAGGATGCAAATGTCCCCTAGAGAAGAAAACATGCATGTGTAGGTTTCTTTACTGCTCACTTATGTTACCGTATCATGACCAACTGTTAAGTAAAGGACAATCACCAAAGGTAAACAAGAAGAGGGAAGGAAGTTGACATCCGAGCCCGTAGAAAACATGACTCATCAAATTCGTTTGTTACGGCTCCAAAATAAGCAACAGTAACGGCACCCAAACATTCCTTAAACGGTATGAGAACCGTTCGTTTTTGCAAAGAAGAGGAAATGAGATAATCTAAATCCCTCATTCCAACTTTTGGGGGAAATTTGAAGCAAACAGAAGTTACTGCTTCCAAAGGATCTCAGAAAAGGTAACATGGCAACGACGACATGCACAACCTATCATCACCAATTCTCGGTTTATGGTTTAGGTGCGCTCTGATCTACACACTATTGCTCAAGTTGACAGCCGATCCAGATGAAAGAGTGAGTGATGATGGACAAAGAAATGTTGATGATATTGTACAAATGGCGATAACAATTAAAATGTAGGCAAGTATGAAGATTGCATTTTCAGCCCACAAAATGGGTGAAATTTCAAACAACATTTAACCAGGAATTGGAACACCTGGTTTGTATCTTTTGCTTGAACGTAACTCTAAGGAATACAAGTTATTTGAAATTTGAACCCAATTATTCAACTGACTCTACTCACTCCAGGACTGCCAGCACATCCAAGACCGGCGGAAGCTGGTTGTGGGGGCATCACCGGCGGAGGATGCATTCGCGAAACTCCATCAGCATCTGGTGAGTGTAGTGTAGCAACAGAATCAGTGTGCCCAAAGAGGCCTCCGCCTTCACCTCCATTCGTAGATGTTGAAGCGATGCTTAACGTGGAAGGCGCCTGCGCGACGGCGAAGGACAGCGCAGCAGAGCCAGTGGCGATTGTTGGGTCTAAGAGAATGTTGCCATTAGTGGCGGTTGAGCCAGGATTCTGCGAAGCTGTCGCAGAGGTACCACCAGCCTTTACGAGAGGAGTGGAGCGCAGACGGAAGACACCCTCAGCTCCAGTGGATGCAGAGGACTCGGAGGCAATAACCGCGGGGTGCGCAGCTTGAATCTCTTTCAAAGCCTCTTCTAGTGGTCCCATTTCCGCCAATACGTTCAGATGGGCGTCCTTGTGCAAGCGAAAATAGGCAATCATAAGTGACTGTGCTCATAACCACAATCGTCCAAAGGCGTGCGCATACAGACACTGAATAGTGGTGGGCAAAATGGGCACTATGGATTCCAAAATGCAACGCAAAGAGCAAGGAAGATCCCAAGAATTACAGAACGAAGTGATTGAATGTTTCGAGTAGAGGGATCTTTGATAAAAATTTTTTAAGAGTTAAGGAGAATGAGTTTTGAACTACGCTGAAGTTAATTACAGCTAAGACTTGGGTTGACTCATTCGGGAGCATTGAGGACTAAGTTACTAAGTGGGTAAAGACAGAGGGTGGTAGCAAAACAATAGATCGAGAGAAATGCCCTAGCAGAAAAATTGATCAGATAAAGGTACTAACTTTTATCCTTATTTATTATCAATAGGCGTTGCAAGGATTTGCGTAAAGGCAAAATCGACTGGAGCAAAAACAAATGAACCAGTGAAAGGGGAGTTTTCATTAAAAAGCTTAAAGAAAAGGCATAAGGAAATCTCGAGTTTCTATCCAAAGGTACATTGGATAGTGATAAACGGTAGGAAGGGAGGAACGTAAATGAAGATAATTTCGTATGGATACAACTCGTGAACAGGTAGTTCCAATCTCTGAAATACTGAGATGCTTCCCTAAACAAGCTTAAAATTTGACCGTGAGATTACAAAAGCGATGTGCACTAAAGGACACGCAATTACTTGAAACCACGCAGCACGACTGGGAAGAGCACCCATTCAGGCTTATTCACTTTCAGAGGCGAAGAAAGGTAAACCGTCAACTCAAATACAAACTACTTTTCAATTCACGCTTCTCGAAGCACAAAAATTTCCTTAACGAGTTGCTACGAGTGGTGAAGCGTTAGCATAAGCATGTAAAATTTTGTTGAGCAAAAATTATAAAGCGGTTGAAAGCAAAGAAGTGATCCAGTTACAAACGAGGTGGGAATGCAGTGACAGAGTCAGTCAATCTAAGAAAAGATAGAAAAGGGGCATTTCTTGGAGGAAAGAAGTGAATTTAGAAACAGGTGGCTAAGGAGCATATTTACAACGTCTTTATTTGTGTTCTACGAGAATTACAAAACAGCAGACAAAACAGGCGGAATAGGAGCCCAGCCGTACGATATGCCAAAAATGACATCTTCCCATGCATTCAAGGAAATCACCACAAATTGACAAATTTATTCCAAGAATGCTTAAAACTGTACTTAAGCTAAACTGAAGCGCTTGGAGGGCATGATTAAGAACGATTAGATGCGGTGGAAAAGAAAATACAAGCATTGAAACAAATCATTCTACAGGAACTGCAATGAAGGGTTAGTGGGAGACAGACATGACTTGCGTTGTGGACAGTTGTGATGAAAAATTTATGGACTTCAGAGACCAAGATCTCCTCGTTTTATGGACACTTCATTCAAGTGTCTTTTTACAAAGTCACGAAAGGAAATCGGGACCTGAATGTAAAGTAGCCTTTAAAATACGAGTGAAGAACTCGCGTAGACCGTTGGTTGCCGCCTGAACGATACACTCACAACCCACTTTGCACTATCGGAGACAGCACCACTGCAGCTCCAGTTGTTGACGCACTGTAGACAGAATGGCCCAGCGTTCACTTAGCGAAGGCCAAACGACAATCACAACTGATGTTCTTTCCCTATGAACAGTCAAAGGGCTAAAAAACTGCACTATTCCCAATCTTACGAGGCAACGCAAAACCTAATAAGGCGCAGCTTCTTCACGAAATTTGCACTTTAGGTAGGAGCAGGAAAGAGATGGGAATACACCACCCCAATGCTCGTGTTTCTCTGACTAAAATTCCTCCATATGATAATTGGCACGCCTTCCTGGCAAACAATAAGCATGTGGGAACCAAAAGGTGGCCAAAATCCTTGCAAAATGAAACTTTAAGTTGTACTGGGTAGGAAGGATGAGTATTATTAGAAGACAGCTTGAGAAGCTTCCAAAGCTCACCTACTTCCCACTGTAAGAATAACCACACGAATCTAGATGGTCAGCTCAGATATCAAATCCATTTAAATCCACAACGCAATTTATTTTGTTTGTAAGAATTGAATGAAATAAATGGGTGACTCAATGAAGTACTGGAAGTGGGCCAACCTAGTTGTTTGTCATTACAAAAGAACCAACTAGATATGTAACCGTTCAGTCCGCACAAGAGACCTTGAAAAAAATTTTCCTCGTTTAAAGATAACTACACATTCATCAATGAGGTATGACCATGATCTTGACATTTGCCTAGGAAGTAAGCAAAAAAGAGCTCTCAGTTGGCTGTCTACAAGTGTGCTGGAGATGCTACTAAAACTGCAACAAGAAGGTCGCCAAATGTATTTCCTGAACGGATGCAGTATGTAGGTATGCACAAAGAGAGCCCGATTGTGTAAATTGTCCTCCAAGCCCAACACAGGGCAGTTCAATCATCACCAAAGGGATAAAAGGTGAAATCTACAACGACCTTTGCAGCTGGTAATGCAGCCAATGAAGCTGACAAATCCATTAGGCGGGAAAAGTTGTTGTTGATGCCGATGGCGAAAGATGCAGGCGTGCACGTGCACGCATAGGGTGGAAAGGTCAGGCTGCGTTGGGAAAGGCCACTGTGTGTAGTGATTCGGCTGCGAAGAGAAGAACGAGTAACTAAAACGAAACGATAGGAGAGGACGACCCGGAAAGCGGTCACAAGAGCTCCTGGAAAACTACCCAAACAGAACGCTTAGAAATGTGTTTTGTCTAGGAAATAGACCCCAACGAATAGCATCTAGTGCCGACAAGAAAAGAGCCAAGTACGGAGCTAAAGAGGGGATAACCTTGAAGGAGATGCGACGGCACGATTTTTTTTTGAAATTCAATACAAACAAGGAAGATCAGCCGAAACGGTGAAAGTTTTCAGCAGATGTGTCACTCTATGCATCAGCCAGTAATAAAATTAAGCTGAAATTGAGTTGACAACGGTACAGAAGCGAAGAGAGAAGCGTGAAGCAGCACATTTTACACTAGCTGACAACAAGATGCACCTTTCCGTACGTTTGCCAGATACGATCAAGTGCCGACAAAAATGGCCTGCACATGGCAATGCGCAAGGAAGATTGTTTCCAACCAACTTGGGATGAGTTGGAAAAGAATTTGCTGGCCGAAATGACCACGGGGGTAGAGTTAAGCATTCAGCCACAGCATTATTGAACACTCTCCTTTCCTGGACTATGTAGGTCGAATTTATCATTGCAACCATTCTGAGAAAAGCAGCTTACATGTAGCCTAAGCTGGATCTTGCAAGTATTCAGGCCTGATGCCTCAAAACCAAACATTCGTATCAAAAAGCAAATGATTCCGGCATTTTTTAAACGCATGTTGATCGAGGCCTAAAAAATTGGGCCTAGGGTGAATGGAGTGAAAGCAGAGGGGAAAAGTGGAGAGTGAGCCTCAAACTACATAGAGGATGATTTCTTTTGACTGTAAAAAGCGACATAAAATTTAATGGACGCATCTGTCGGCCAACGGGACAAGACTGGGTGTAAAACACTGAAGATAAGCTAAAGCGTTAATAATTTGATACAAAATTTGCTCCATATGAAGGCAAACGTTTTGTTTTTCAGATAACAGAGGCTTTGTTGAATTAATGAGATCAAGAATGAGGTTTACTTGAAAACATGATTCACTTGAGATCATGTGAAAGTCTACGACGTAAAGGGAGTGATGAATTGACTGGAGCGTAAGACAAGAAATGGGAGACATAAGAGGTAGCTTAAACGGAAGGCGCCTTAAATCATCACGCCTCACTTCCAGTCTATCCGTCTTCACTTAAGTGCCCTAGAGTCGTGGCATGGACAAAATCGACATTTTAATTGTTTCAATGCGTTATCAAACTGGGCCTGTACGTCAGAGACTAAAAGTGAAAAGGAAATTTCTAAGCCTGATCAGAGAGCGATCAGAAACTACCATCATGTCATACGCCACAGGATGAAGCGAAACGCTAAAGAAATAGGACTTAAAACTTTGATTAATAACAATGGCCATTAAAAAAAGTGTACCCCTAATTATTTTAAAGAAGAAGGAACAGGAATTACTGAGTTTGTACTGCGAAATGTCATTTCAATCATCTGTTGTCCATTTAAGCACAAAAAGCATGGGCACTTAATGCCCGTCAGTAAGTTCCGCTACTGCTGTAACTCTTGATAGAACGTTTCGCTCAAACTGCAACATTCCGAAGTGTCAGATCTGCATTGATAATGGACGAGAGCGGCATTTTCATTTCTATAAGACGATTCGTGAAGAAAACAAAATGTAAGCCATACTCGAACATGAGACAAATAGCCTCACAAATCCAGCAGTATTCTCCGTGGAGCGAATGGATCAGTTCATGCTAATAAACTCATAAACACTAATTCGTACATCAAAACGAAGAGCACAAGTCTGATTTTGCCACTGAAATAGGAACTTAAGTAGGTTGCTTCAACACTGGATCTAAAACCCTAGTTTCATGTTGATAACAGTGAAAGAGACACTCCAATTTCGCATCAACCAATTTCATTAGGCCACTTGAATGAGCTGACACTGTATCAAATTTGCGTCAAACGAAAGATGCCGTTTAAGTTAGGTACGAAGGAGCGAAACATAGGCAAAGGGGAATTCCAAAATACCTAAAATGTGAGGGAGATTAACCTTTGAACAAATATGCAAATTTACCTGTCTTGTGATTCCCTTGGTACCAAGCCTTACCAATAATAGGCTACGATGAAGAAGCCATGGAATATCCCCCACTCGCATCAATAGTGAAAGCGTAGCGCATCTTCCTCTGAGACTTGGTTAGAGAACAGATTAAATCCGATATTCCCAATGCTAAGCGAGTATCCTTTGAAGTAATCGAGTCTGGATGTGGGATTAATGATTTAGAGCAAAACGAGAGGATCAATCATATCGGATAATTTCAATGATGTTCATCTGATCCGAGAGTTTGATAGTAGATGAAGGGATAGAAAATGGAATCATTGGAAAGAATTTTACGAACCAGAAAATGGGGAGTTGTCTACACAGACCATTAATGTAAGACCGATTTTGCTACAGACACAAGAAATCAACTCACAACAGAAACCTTCAAAGTTTTCAAGCAGATCCTTGTAACGAATATACCCAGAGAAGAAAGCAATACGAAAGTGACTAGTGAAGGTTTGCATTGCATATAAAAAATAATTCTACCTCGCGTATTCAATCCCGTCATCTGCCTGCGTGATGGAATGATTAGAACCTTGACAACCAGGAGGAGGGGGAGGAGAGGGGACTGATGAAAGATGGCAGAGACGAAGACACCTGCCGCTAGAAAAACTTAGCTTATCCTACTACGGATTTAATAAGAGAAAAAAAGGCTGGCAAATCAAGGCAACTGGAGTTACATCTCGATCAATGCTCCGGAAGTGGATGGGGGTGAAGCAGAACAGACCAGTTAGTTGGCAGAAGTAAATCACCAAAACCGCCTAATTAAAACTCTTCATCTCAATAGTCTGAAAGTTCTCAATTTTATGAGAACCCTGCAAAGAGCGGTAACTATGGGAATTCACGATAAGACTTTCCGAGGAAGCTCTAGTAAACCTTCAAACCTCAGTTTGACTTCAAATGACCATCCACTGATATCCAAACAATGGCCAAATGGAGTATTCGTGCAGATTTTGTCGAGTGGAAGAGAAGTGAAAAGAGACCGCTTGGCCAAAGCAATTTTCGACTGACTAGATCGAAATCGAACAAAATAAAATTGCTCCGGTAAACTTGTCCATGCGCAAGCCCACTGCTGAATTTGGCGCATGGGAACTAGAGGTTCAAGGAAAATCAGTGAAGTTATTTTACTTCAAAAAAGTGGACTTGTTAGGTAGTAGATAAGTTAGTTGTACTAAAACGAAACAATGTAAATAGGACAAAATTACGAGAAGAGGATTGAGGCAAGTGGAGAGTTCAGCGAAGCGTCGACGCTCCTCTACAGCGACAGCCTCACGACAACGCTGCTCAAGATGCTCCAGGGCACGCTGCTTACAAGCGAGATCGTGTTGTACAAAGTTGATTTGCACGTTGGGAGCTTCAAAATCGTCTTTCTCAAAGGCCGCTGTCACTCCGCCGCGCTCCTGCTATTCAAGAGATAAAAGAAATATTGTGGATGATGATTCCTTAGACCAACATTTCGACGTATTAAGATTGTTGGCCAGAAATGTTAATTCTGCTAAAACATTTGACCCGCCACATCACACCAACCGCTGGGATTACCTCACTCCACAAAAGGAAGGTCATTTGTAGAATTGTGGATCTTTAAACGAACGATCCCATTCCGCAAGCCATTACGCCTTCCCTCAGCTTCGGACTGATCAAGTGACGTTTCACTCGTGGCAGCGGATCCCGAGCCCAACCATCTTATAAAACGCCTGCCAGACTTTCAACTGATGTCAGATAAATCTCAGCTGCAAGGACGAAGTGAATATACTACGGATGGGAAATGCGCGAAGATCCTCTACACAAGGGCTAAAAAATGAAGCCCACATCCAACTACTAATCCAGGCGAAGCTAGCACTGAACCGCCTGCATAAGTCGCGTTACGGAGCTGTCCACTGTACCTGTGTGAACACTCAACACACCTCCTGCACATCTCCACTAGTTGGAGAAGACTCGAGGTGGAAAGGACAGGATGGGTGGAGGTAAAAACCCGTCTCCGTTAATTGGTTCTAATCTCAAAGCACTAAAATGAAAATGTTTAAATCAAAAAGCCGGTGGAAAACTTCGCTTCTTGCGCTTAAACTCCCATAAGATCGCTTGAGTTTCTTGATAGGTCAAAATGTACATTCACATAAACACTTATCAATGCGTGTTTATGTGTTCTCGAAGACCTAAAAGTTTACATTACCTTTTTCTATTTTGGTCACAAAAGCTCAAACAACCAACAACACCACCATGGGAAAATAAATCGTCGTGGTCGCCATGACTCAGGTGCTACCTTTCTAACTGAATCTTTACGTTCCGTCCATAATACTTGAAGTTCAACAAGGAGCTAGAGCATCAGAACGGACAAGGGACACAAAAAACCTTGGTGTTACAAATCTGGATTAAGAAAAGATTAGGTAATGAGGCTAAAGACAGAGCAGCTACAACCAAGGCTTCACGGACGATGGTGTAAAGACATTAATAACTGAAAGAGAGCGGCTACTTGGCTAGAGGATGGCGTACATAAACAATTCAATGAAATAGGTTGGGCACAGCGCACCCAATCAGCACAAGCAAATCTTCATAGCAGGTGAATGGCAACAACTTTCTCTAAAACGCCTAACTAATTCTCAATAACCGAAAGGGATAGGCTTTAAGGATGTGGAATCACGGGTGAAATTTTGAATAGTTTGTCAGAAAAATGAAAGGAATGCCTCGATGACCACTTTACCAAAATCCAATTTTTATTTAGTGAAGCAGTGTATAGGTAAGAGAGGGGAGGCAACAGCTTCTTCATTAAAAAGCTCTAGCAAAACCGATAATGCCAAAATGGAGGTCTTGGATGTTGGTCTAAACCTTGACGCGGCATTGTTGAAAAAACCAGACAATTTTGAAAGGGTGGACTGGTGAAGGCCATCTAGTTCCCTCCTTCCCTGATGAACGGTCGTATAGTCGTGAATGCGAAGATGCGGACTGTTGATCGAGTAAGAAGTTTTGGTTAGACCGCCTAATTGGCAATTTTATGAGTTAAATATGCGAAAATACATCTGAACCCCTCCAACCAGATCCCTTTGGGTGAGGTAGCATTGATGGTTTGTGGTGGTGAATGGAGCTGAGATATTAATTTAAAGTTAAAAGCTGCTGTAAGGGATGAGAAAGGCGTCAAGAACCGGACGGAACAAGGATTGATCAAATGGGGCATGCCCTACAAACGAAAGAAATAGGAAAAGGTGCCATTTGCAATGCGTAATATCGTGCTGATTTATTAAAAAAAACTAATTTGGTGCATATACTTTTGGGGAATAGCGCAAAGAAAAGACCAGGTGGTCCAACGTGGCAAAGGTCAGGATTTCGAAGAGAAACGTAGCACATAGTCATCAGATCTGCTTTAAATTGACTTAACTGACTGTGTGAAATTCTCACGATCCTATTTGAGACTTGTATGTATGCCCAAACCCACCTTCAACGTGTCTGTGATGTGCTGGGATTTAGGATGGTGTGGCAGCCACGTAGATCGGATTATACTTGATTTACCTAACTCATGATCCTTCTTGAAAACGGAGACGAAAGAGATGCAGTGAGAACGTGTGATTTTAAAAACATATTAAGTAGGTTACATACGGATGACGATTATTTATGTTCAATCTCTTCTCTAGATTAAAAAAGGGTTCAGACGCGGATGGGATGCGTTCAAAGCCGGAAGTGAGACTACTCTGATTAGAAGAAAGGAATCTAGGTGGTGCAACACGTGTCGTTGATGCCCAGTTGGGAGTAAAGCCATTGTGCACTTATTCGGATAACCAAAGAAACAAAATTTGAACATGGAGAGAGAGTGAAACACCTTTCGCTGACGTGATACAAATGAAAAAGAGCCTTTCGCCCAAATATCACTGAACTCTTACTCAAAAAATTAAAATCAGCTAGCGACTAACTGTTTTGAAGAGACAGGCAATTTCAAAGGACAGTTTTAAACAAGGCTACCTGACGATCCACCAAGTGGCAACCAGAAATCCAATCCCTTAAGTAGATGGTACAAAAGCTTTTAGCTTTGAGGACCATTTTCATTTTCACTTTTACCAATTCGTCAACTCTCCTATTTCACACTAGCTCGCTCAAATAGGCTGTTTCAGCGATCGAGAATCGTCATACACGCATTTACATCATGTGCAGTTATCTCTAAAAAAATAACAACACCCAGGGCAGTTTATCATAAACAATGCGTTTGGATGAATACGCAACCTCATAGCAAGGATTTCGAGGCATCGTTTGGAGTTAGGGTGAGTTTAAGCGCTAGACTGAACCTAATTCGAGTTTGTAGCCATGGTTCTAACCAAAGTGTGCCCACTTCCTTGCCTTCTTGATTGGAATCGCAATGGGTAATGTCCCAGTACCATGACAGCCACCAAGACATGCTTGGACTTTGACCATGATGTGAGGAAGACTTAAAAACTCGACACCTTCTTATGCAGGTAGAACAAACGAGCAAAAAACTAAGAGGCTCGGTGACCTTACCTGCAATGAACTTAGTGCACAGAAAGTCTCCGGGCGATATATCCCGACTTTCAGATTTATAATTTCACTATGCCATCTTCCAATATAACTTTTCCCACAAATCTCAGAAAGCAAACTACATGCTAATTATTTTTATGCAAAAATGAATATTAAAATGAGATCAAGAGGCCGTAAGACATAAAAACGCCCAAAATATACGAGCTTGGATGAACTCGAATGAGGTGTGCGGGTGCGTGAGTCGAGCGAAGGCTGAGCACTCAGAAACGAGGCCAGAGCTGAATCTTTGTACTTCAAGGATTTCGATTCATAACTGCTTTAGGAGAGGTGCGATTGAACCGAAAAGCAATCGGCAGCAAATAAAACCATTATTTTTATTTATAAAGAATATTTAAGAACGTAGCACTCAGAAGCTTTTGAATAGTGGTTAGCGTCCGAATACAATACCTTTCTCAGCTTTGAAATTAATGGGTGATAAAATGCCTGATCAATGGCAAAGAGAGAAAGGGAAATTTCATTAGTATGAATGCACATTGAATAAATTTTGTGAAAAACTTTCAGAACAATTTGCAACCTCTGCCAATCACAGCCCAGACTGCAACTTTAAGTAGACGATTAGAGAAGATAAAAAGCCGTTCGCAAAGCGATTGAAGACAATAACAATAAGTATAGTTCGGAAAGGGCAAGTAGAACCAAAATTCACGAACATCAGCGAAATCACAAAACCCACTATCCAAGATGTGCTTGCTAGTAACCGAATCAATAGTAGAGTGCGGAGTAGGCAATAAGAATATAGGTTCGAAATTCGAAACAAACTAAGACGGAAGGACAAGGAAAAAACAAACCAACCTTACGACGAAGACGCTTTTTGCACTTCTCTGCCTCAAGAATAGCTCGCTGCAATTCCGACTTGGCTTTGCGAAGCTCCTTCACGCAGTCCCGATCCATTTGGTTGGCTGTCCGACGCCACTCATCTAACCTGTCCGACAGAGGAGTTACCAGACACTCGGTGATTTGGCTAAATAAAAATAAGAATCTCTCAAGACACTGCCTCCAAGTTCCAAACAATATGGAGGAAAATCAATTTTCTAACTGATTAGAGCACTCAAGCGACAGTAGCATACAAAAGTAGTGATAATAAAGGGCATACCTATTAAAGCCACGCAGCCGAGACTCGACACATCGTTGGCGCAGACAATAACGCCGCAAAGCGATACCAAACGGGCGTAATCCCGCATTATTTGTTTCAGCAATGTCAGATATTTTTTGAAATGCTTCCAGAAAACCGGACATGCACTGCAATGTAATACTAAGAATATGAAAGAAGATACAGAGTGGTTAGTCAAAACAGAAAGGAGACATTTTCATAAAAGAAGCAAATTGGATTAAAATTCTTGGAAGGTGCCGAATTCAGTAAGCCATGAAATGGACCTGAGTGAGGAGCCATAAGGGCTGTCAATTTAATAAAACATAAAGAAAGTACCACATATACTGAAACGAAGAAGATAAATCATAAAAGGGCGGGTGCACCAACCTCATAGATGCGGTCAATTTATTCGACTTGCTAATAAGATCATCCCAAAAGGCAAGTGATGTCTAGAAATAGGGAAAACATGTGAAGACAGTACCTTGAGGTTCGATAACTGAAGGTTAAAGTTGTTCGAATTATACGAAGGCTTCATGTAAGTAGCTGTTCCTTTAGAATCCAAAATTTTCTAGCATTTATAGGTGAAAGAACTTAGAAAACAGTTAAAAAGCCCGACCGGCCACACAAAGAACTATCGCATACACTGAGGGTTATCTAAAGCCACCTAACATCCAGTACAAATTCAACCTTGTTAACCCAATAGTATTATTAAATCTCAAGGCCAATGGCGAAGTCAAACATCGTGGAGTGAAAAAATAAATATTTGCGTCAAGGAAATAAAGGCTACAAAATCAACCCATAGCAATTACGCACTTTAAGCCGTGAGATATAAGTTGCTCCGAGTTTTTAGGTAAAGAGGTGAATAGACCACAGACATGTTTTCAAACAGTGGGGGGCTCTCGACGGACTTAAATGCAATAGGCTTATATTTGACAGCATTAAAGATGACTGTTGCAGCATCCCAAGACTTCCCTTAGGTTGAAAGAAGGCATGAGTGGGGTTAAATACATGTATTCCGAAAAGGAACCTAAACATAGCCCGCCATGGTAGCCGCCTAAAGTCAGGTAGTCACATAAACAAAGCATTGCACTGCCCCTCTCTTCTTTTAGGTGACGTCCTCGGTGTTCTCCTTTGTTACACCTCCCGCACCAGTCATCACATAATATTCGCTACTACATGAAAGCACCCATGAGCCAACCGTGCCGGTCGACAGATATCATGAGCATGAGGAACCGTACATGGTCTTCTCGCCAGCTTTGACTGCACCTGGAGGTACGGTTGGTCTGACAACCAGATTCGGGGCCGCATACATCTGTTGACCATCAATTGCTTCCAGGAACGCACGGTGGAGCTCTAGTCTAAAACATGTTTCAAGGAAAACGGGATGAGCCACTATATCGTATGCAAGAAGAACCGTAGTGTCATTTCCGACACATAAATACGGATTTTGTATGAGAAATTCTGACACGAAACATTTCCAGATAGTTCACAGCGGTGTCGCTTTAGCTGTTAATAGCTTTTTTGTGGAGCACAGGGATAAGGTGAAGCCAAATGCTGACGTCGGTCTCAACCCTTTCGTTGTAAGAGATTCAGAGTAGCCACCACCTATGCAAATGCGTCTCTTCCACACCGTAAATCCATGCAAAAAACGGTACGTGCTAGGATAGAGGCTGGATACATGTATTCCGAAGAAAACAGAACAAATGAGCCTGACTATAGTTCGAAGACCAGCTCACAAGTACAAGGACCATACAACTCCCAAAGTGACAGTCAAACAAAGCATTACAACTGTTTACACAGAATCTAAAGGTCTACAATCTTCTAACTGAAGAAACTTGTAAGACTACATCAAGCCCGAACAAGGTGCTAAATCCTTGGATGCTAATATAACTCGAATGCATAAAGTTTTTCGTTTTAATCGAAATTGTAAGTCAGACTGAGGGTATAGAGGAAAACGTTATACTAAAAGGAAATGCTGAAGCTTCTTGAGCCTTACTTTAAGTGTAACCGCTTCCTACTTCAATACTATTATTTCTCCTATCTTACGCTGTAAAATAAAACGTGCAAACAAACCGTCTCCTAAGTAAACGTCTGCAACAGATTTGGGAAATGATGAAGTTGGGCTACAGTAGTACTTTGTTTGTGTTCGCCTGAGGCTTGGCAGTTACTCTGGTTTTTGTCTAACCCGTTTACGCGTGGGCGGAGCTTGAGGTCAAGCAAAGACCAGTCCCTCCCTTATCCTCCTGGAATACATGTATTTAGCCCAATGTAATGCCGCCTTCTACTTGGACGTAGGTCTTGGGGTAGTGCAATTAATTTGCGTCATCATTGTTCCAAGCAGAGCAGTAGAAGCTAAAGGGGAGAATGGTAGCCGGTTGATTCCATTAATTTATGATAACTTAGACACTTTCCTTTGAATTGGTTTAATTGTCGGCTCTTTACACAACTAATCCAACCACCCAGACGACGGTATACTCCACTAAATCCAAACGTCGAAAAGTCTACAGTTCAAATGCTTGACGTAAACGCATTCAGCTCCCTTTTCAGCCTCATCCTTGTCCATTTTGGTTAGAGCTCAACTGGTGCCACAAGATTGCTCATGGATGAGGCACACTTTAGGGTGGAGGGAGAACTTACCAATCCCCAAACTCTATTCTATTGCGAAGTTTCTGCACCGGTGGTGAAACGACTCCATCATCCCACTGACCCGTACCATGGATTACTCCAATCCCTTTCGCGTCCTATCCTAACTTCGCAGCTACCCACTGAAAGGCAAATTGCTTAAACCCCGCAAAGCGCCCGAGCAAGTCGGGAACTTAGAACAATCGCCCCCGAGATAGAAGCACCCTTCAGACGTACTTAAAGCCCTGCACCAAGCACCCCCTACTAGCAGAACTAATCTCCGCGCACACGAACCGAGCCAGTGCGTTGAGGGGGCAAACTACGCTCCAAGAGACCATCAAGATGAAGAGAGGAGTGCCTGCCAGATATTGTAAAGCCTTACGACCCCCTAAGCTACCCCCAGAGGAATTTCGCTTCTAAATATGAAGACAGTCAAAAGGAAGTCACCCCGAGGAATAGATGTAGGATCAAATAACACCGATCTAGACTTGTAAAAACTATGGACACAGATGCTTTCGAACACTAATGGTGAAAAAAAGTTCCAGAAATTCCATCAAAAAGTAAATACAGAAACAGCCGGTAATGAGCCACCGTGCAGAAAACTAATGTAATCTGTTCCTCTGAACAAAACGATATCACACAAACCAATATAACACGGCTCATAAATGCGTCCCGATGCAATGAGGAAAAAAGGGTAATCCCAAGATACGTAAGAATCCACTTTTATTACCAGTTTATCGTAGTCGCCTAGCTTCTCTTTCTGTTTCCAGGAGAACTAGAATATCTCCTTCACGCACGGGACCCTTCACATTGCGAATGATACTTCGCTTGTTTTCAACAAGCTCAACTCGAACTTGTGTACACTGACCCTGAGAACCAGTTCGACCAAGAATTCTTGTGACCTGTGCAGAAATAAGCTCGTGAATCACTTTTCCAATGGAAATGTCGGCAAATACGAAATAATTAACACGTAGGGGCAATACTTGACTGCCTCAAAATCCAAAAAAAGTAGGAACATAATAGCAACCATGACCAATACTAAAAGCACTACAACAAAGCAAATCTGCATCTAAATCTAAAGCCACAAAGTATAAACAGCATGACTTTTCTGAAAATTCGTTCATAATTTAATGGAAAATTACCCTAGCTGTCTGCGCTGGCGGAGCGGCTTTCGTGGCGTCCATGTCGAGAGAAGAACCGGCTCAGATCTGACACTGCCGACAAAACCCCGAATACATACAAACAAAAATATGCAATAAGGCTCTGATTAACAGAATTTTGGGAGTACTAATTGCGACACCAATATAATCTAATTTTGTGATGCTTTAAAATGACCCAGAAATTGTACAGTGCCTTACACACGGCCATTCGCATAAGCAAGGTATTACATGCATTTGCGCTTTTTGCTGTGTAACTATTTACTACTGTTAGGAGTGCTTTAAGGCTACATTCCTCACTATAAATGCGATTGCGGAACTCACATTATCCCTTGTACATAAGCAGAGCCCAAGCGCTCGTCACGCGCATAGCTGTTACAACTATTTAAATCAAAGTTTGCAATTTGTTTCAATGATGCATTTATGTTGGAAGTAATTCATTCTAGTAGTTTATCCTTTAGTTAGCACCTTTATTGGCACAGCATCGTTTTCCTCTACCAAAGCTGTTGTGTGCCGAGTTGTCCCCATAAGTGCATTTTGGTCCGACAGTGTGGCCTGTGAACTCATCATTTAGTCAGCAATTCATTCAAAGCATCTAGCATTCAGCCAGAAGTCTTATGCACTATTAATTTATGCACGAAAATTGGATCTCTGGTGACTCCAGCTTCCCGACATGTCTACATAGAAGTTGGAAGGTAGTGATTGCATTTGGGTTAAATGGAGAGGACTTGGTGCATTGACGTGACCCTGGACTAAGCCCATCTGCAGAGACAATATGGACAATCAAGAGACCATCGTTGATTCTAGTATTCAAGCAGACAAAGCATAGCATAGTGACGTCCGCATCACTCGCCTTAATAAGCCATGAGCCATCCGCACAAGTCATCACCCCTTGCTTAATTAAGGGTATGCAATCAAATGCAACGTCACTGCTATCTTTTAACAGATAAAAATGGATTTAGAGGTTTTCTGTCGGCTTGATAACAGAGTTCGGATACCGGAGATTCCGTCCATGATTATGTGTCTCTGTGCCCACAGATTCAAACATTAGTCCAAAACATATGAGTAAAAGGAAATATTAGATTTACCCCAGTCGCCTATGGTGCGGTGCTTCGTGCGGTTTCACCTTGTAGTTTGAAAATCTCCAAAACGAGAATTTTTTAGATGGTTCATGATGTCTGTAGCCTCCGCTGTTAATAACTTGTCTGTGGAACACGGAAATGGAGATGATCATGGAGGTATACGTTAACAATAAGGTCTCCCATTGAAGAGGAATTAGAGGCTATCACTTCAAATCATATGTACTTCGTTTGCACTGCTAGCTTGCCATAAACGGTGGGAATCAGGAAAGAAGTAGTCCCAAAGTCAAATTCGCCTTCCTGTGTCATCATTTTAGTGCCCCAGACTTATGCATTGATGAAAGGCACAATACTTGGGTAGGAAAAAAGAAGAAGAGGGTGCAATTTCGAGTGTGACGATGAGGCCAGCCCACTCTGCCACTCCAAACATAACCCACAAGTGATCGTAACCGAATTGATCTCCTCTACTAAACATACTAAGTACCGCAGCTAATAATAATGGTGGTGATGGTCGCCTTATTCGTTAAGACTTCGATACCGGTGCATTATGATTTTTGAAAAAAACCAACTCAGTTTGTGTATGACCTCGAAACGCCTATGAAACCAAAGGAGCTTATGACGCCTGGAGCCCAGTCCATCCAGCGGAGGTGCGATGGAGGAGACTTGAAGTGTCAAAACCCAAGATTACTCAAGCACCGAACGCAGTACACCTAATCTTCTATACTTATAAGACTGTTTTCCAATCAATGCTGACAAGGAATCGTGGAATAAAAAAAAAAAATCACCCTTAAACTTGTTCTCGTGGTTGTTGATTTCAATTCGTAAGCACCGACTCTTCCGTTAAAGACACAAAAGTCCAGGCCTTACCAAGATAATGACATCCCTTGAAATTCCATAAAATGAATTCGAACACACATTATGAATACTCAAAGCGTACAGGTGGCTTTAAAGACACTTGCACAAAGGCGAAGGTGTAATTATAGCCTGCTTTGACACCCGAAAAGTTACCACACCACCATCGCTCCTCCATCCATTCCTTCCAGAATGCACGCCAATGACGCACAAAAAAACCAACTCAAGCATGCCTTCATCGCTAGTATTACTAGAGCATATGGTATGAAACCGCACCCTCTTCAATCGGAAGGTGGTACTTTTTAAAGCCCAGAGGAAAGGAACACTTTGCTCATAATTTATTTGTCTTTGCAACATTAAGTATATAGAATATAGTAACAGTAGTAGTAAGAGCTGTGGCAGTGGCATAATAAGCATTTGTACGTGTCGATAGAGAAAGAAGGATAGAGAGATAGAGAGAGGCAAAACTTTTATTGGCGCAAGTGATTGGAGTTTGTGAGAGGAAAGGAAACAGGGCAGAGGGGAGAGGGCTTGTGGATTGGTGACTGGTGGCGGTAAAATAGTTGAAGCAAACCAACAAACAGGCAAAGGGACAGGCAGACTAAACAACCAACAAAGGCCTTGCTTGCTCACACAAACACGCAGAGAAAAGCACAAAAAATAGAGGAACAAAGAAAATTTGGAATAGAGAGGAGAAAGAAATAGTAAGGCTGCATCATTGACGCTAAGGTAAGAGTGAGTGGGTGACCTTGCATGAGATTCCTGAAAACTTATCAAAATAACCGAGCAACCTAATGGGTGGTAGAAGGGCGTGTGGATTGGGGTGGCGCGAATACTGTTCCTGTCCTTATGTCAACATCGTTGGTGGGTCGTCGCCCCTTGAGGCGGCGACAGTGGTGGAATAAAAATAGGCGTCAAAAAGAATAGAAGCGAGGCGCTGTGGAAAAGAACCAAAAACAAGAAAAAGTAGAAGCAATAGGAGTGGGAAGGGAGAGGGAGCGAGGGGCAAGTGCACTGACGTGGACATCATATCTGGGACGCTGCCTGGGAGGGAGGAGACGAGAAACCTGGGAATGGGAGAGAGAATGTCACTGGTTGAAGTCGGGCGGCGGTAGTGGTGATAGTGATTGCGCGTCAAAGGCTGCTGTGGCAGCGTTGGCGGAAGGAGCGAAGGTGAGAGGAGAGGTTTGCTGATTCGGCCGCTGCTGTTCCATGAGGTCGGAGGTCGAAGTGGTAGTGGGGGCGGCAGTATTCAGCATGTTGAGAGGAAGACCCGCGGGACTGGGGGAATCGTTGCCAAGGAAGAGGCTCCTTCGAAGGTAGTGCTGACTCTGAGGGCCTGAGAGGAGGAACAGAGGTCAACCGTTAGGTGGGAGAGATGGAACGTAGGCAGAAGCGGTCGAATGCAGAGTACAGAAAATAGCAGACGGAAGAAGGGGAGGATGCAGTTAAATGACAAACGAAAGGAATTTAAAAGAGGAGGTAGAGAGAATGGAGATTAGAGATCAAGAGGAGGTTAAGGGACGAAACTTACGACTACAACTGCTGCCCGCGCGATTCGATTGAACGCCATACTCCTGCGCCAGGCTCACTAGAACCTCGAGAATTTCGGAATTTGTCTAGCAAAGGGAGGACGGGGTAGATGAACAAATTAATCGTTTGCACAAAAATACTTCCTAAAATGCTATCCAACTACCACAACTATCAAGTGAAAATAAAACAGCGGAACTACATTCCTAATTCTAACAGCAGATTTGTAAAAACGCTGTGGAAAATATCACCTTACCTTCTTTAATATAGGAAACAGTTTCCAACAAAACAGGAACATAAAGAGTTATGAGTAAGGAAATATAGTGTTTAATTTGCTTTGCGTGTATCGTAATTCCGAAAATTCTGAGCCACAGAAAAGACAATAACGAAACTGGAAGTGTTTTCGAATAAAAAGGAAGACTTATATCGAAGTGTAACATGTTAATTATTTGTCAACCCTCGGCTTTGACAAAGACTCCACATAGACACTTCGTTATGGCGCCTTCATTAAATGAGAAGACCTCCGAGCCACCATCACGTCTCCCTCAGCTTCAGGCAGGTCACGGATCGCTACACTGGCGGCACTTAATCGCAAACCTAATCATCATAAAGAACCTCTAGTCAGCCTTTCCATTGACGTCAGACAAACTCCATCGAAGGGGAAGAAGTGCACATACAACAGATGTACATGTCTAAATTTTGCTATCTACAACTAATTCCAGTCCTTGTTATCACCTTAGGCGCATGAAAAGAGAGGTTTAGCAGAAAGCGCCGTGGACGACCCTCCAAAGAGGAGAGGAGGCTGTACAATGCATCGAATTGGTGCATTACTTTCCAATTTTGAAAAGTACCATCTAGAGCCACCATGTACAACTTCACTGGTAGTGGTGACCTGCAGAGTACTCAAAATCCCTTTAGTGCATTGTAGCTACAAATGTTTTAGTCTCGCAATGACAACAACCACCTTCTGGACGACCTAAAATGCTTGACTCGCTTATTTGACGAGGAACATAGTAACAGCAAGCGAAGGCCACAATGAATAAATAGTATCAAACCCCCTACAATAAAACGCTAAATTATGCATAAAACAATAGGATATTGTCACCGCAAGGCAAAAAAATCCACTTATGGGGGTTGGAAATAGATATTGGCAAATTCGCAATGGACCAATAGCACTTCCCTTTGTAGCAAGCCACAAATCTATCCACCACACCTTCACTACAAAACAGAATCGGTCAAGTCAAGGCTGCATAAAAAGCGTTCACGTCAAGATACATCAACTTACCAAGCAAACCGCTATCCATTCACACATATCTAGGTTAAAATTAATGAGAGATTTCAAGCCTGGTGCAAATAAGAATGCTCTTAAAGGTAGCCATCTTAAAGGACAAAACGATAGACTGCATTGTTATAAAGATAGCAAGCCGTGGCCACTAATGAGTATCACATTCTCCACACAATTTGGTTCTTTTGGGTGGTACAAAGCCATAAAACCAAATTTCGGAATAACTGGCGATAATAGCATCAGTGAAGAGTGTTTTTGCAGTTTTAGCAAATTGTAGAAGGAGAGCCTAAGCTAAGCATTGCGGAAGGACTTTTGAACAGGAGAGACTTTTTAATGGGAACTTTACGACGACTCCAATAACTGTAAATCAACCTTTCGAACATATCATAAAACCTTCACAGAACAAACATTTACAAATCGTAAAAGAGAATCCCGATGGGAAACAAATCAAATGGTTGAACAAGAGACAGAAAAATGACCAAAACTCACCGTGAAGGCAAGTTGGGCGAACAGAAGCTGCAACAAGTTTAAGGATCGTTACAGAAAATCGGGATCACAAAGTAGTCTAGCTCTTTAAACAAGCCAAAAAATCACCGACAGGCACCAGGTCTTTGCAGAGCGGAGTACTTAGCGTAACGAAGAAGGCAGTTGAATAATCTTTAAAAGTGCACAAAGGGTTCCTCGCGGAGCCGGATCCATTAATCAAACAAAGTATGGCCACTGGATCGTATTTGACGGAAGGTCAATTTCGATAGCACTGAAACCACCTTGGATTGGACTGCTAGTCAGCAAAACTGTCAACCAACTAAAGAATGGCTGCAAAGATGGTACGATGGTGAATAGAATCATAAGAGCTTGGCATTTTCCAAATGGAATGCAGTCCAATTAAACTGGGTTCAACAACTAAAGTCAGAATGACAAAGGGAGAGAATGAAGATGAGGAGTTCCAAGATAGCTTCAAAGCGAAAAATAACATTGGAAAGGAAAGTAATTTAAAGTTGTTTTGATTGCGCTACTGGACCATGAGAGCAAAGCATAAACAACTCCTGGAGTGGAAAACAAACTTGATAAAGAATTAGGAAAAGGCAGACTGTGGCGTAATAACGCAATGCAATATTTTTCAATAAGGCAGCCCAAGTCTTTAAACAAATAGGAGGATAAAACTATTAGCCTTTCGGACGACTTCGACTTCTAAATTTGAGGTGACATCAACAACCATCATTGAGAGAAGAACAGCTAGGCAAATAATAGCTGATGAAGGCACCAAACAAAGGCAATTAATTGCGGTCCAAATATCGAAATAAACTCCATCACATCACATCACATCACATCAATCTAACATGTCTGTGAGGTGAAGTCAACAGAACAGCACGGCTTACCGGAAAGATAGGAGAGTCACGAAACCGCGACGCGAGGTTACGCAAACTACCAGGGGTATCGCGATCGAAGAGGCCGGATCCGGGTGTTGCAGTCGTTCCCGGCGGTCGCGACTGCCGACCCCCGCCACAGCTACCACCTGGGGTGAGGCGATGGGTGGCGAGGGTGGTCACAGGAGGGGGAGAGATACCAGGAGCCGGAAGAAGAGAGGGCATCTGCCGTAAGTCATCAGCCGCATCGCTCCCAAATCCACCCACTCCACCCCCTCCCACGCCGTTCGGACTCAAGCTAGGCAATGCACAGGCCGATGCACACCGTTTCCCACACGGCGTCGTCCTTTAATTATGTATTAAACAAAATTGGGTTTCGAGCACACTAAAACGTGCTTATTAGGGTGATTGATTGCGACGAGCTAATAAGAGAAAAATAAATTGTGAACTAACCAAGAGAGTAATTACAGTGATTCATTGTATCACTCATAAAAGTATCACGATAAGTTGGATTATGTTATTGAAGCGGAAATTTAGAATGTGTGTGATTCTGTTTTAGATGTATGCAAAATGACTTCACAATTAGGATTTAGAATGGTTCTTACCTAAAGAAGAGGGGATTGGGAGACTCCATGCCAGCTAAACCAACACCATTGACCGCATGCTGTTGTAAACGCTCGTGGAGACTTTTATATTCAGCGTATGACAATCCACCAATGGGCGGTTGATTGACGGTTGAATGGTGCCGACGAGCTGCAACAGGGCCAGCAAAGATAGTTTTCATCTCCTCGTCCTCATCATCATCCGGCTTTGTTTCTGTCGTATCCATTCCTCCTTGTCCTCCTGCAGAAGTGTTTGATACTGCTGTTGAAGGTGGCGCTGAAGTGTCCCTCGAATTAGTGCTCCCACCACCACTTCGACCAAGAACCGGTGCTACAACAGCAAAAAATTGATTTATCTAGCTTCTACTTAACTTATTATAGGTAGATGTGTTATTGAACTCACTGAATGGTGTGTCGTGAAGAGCCTTGAATGCAGAGGGTACGCCCAATTCCTCAATTGTGGGGGTTCGTGCCTCTAGCCGCTTTTTCGCAGGTTGCCGGGGTGTCGACTTCCCCGACAGAGGTGCAGGCGGCGGTGGAGGAGGCACAGAGGGCGGTCCAATGGGCTGGGGCGCGTACAGCGGTTGCATACCTGCGTGGTGGTTGCAACCTAACAATGCTGCAGCCGGTTGGGTAGTGAAATGTGTTGGTAACTGCTGAGGATCCTGGGTAAAGGAAACAGATGCCATGTGTTCTGGTGGTTTGAGTAATGTCAGAGAGAAAAAGCAGAGACGTACACCAAGTTGCTTGACAGTGTTGATAGAGAGGAAGACATTTGCATCGGGAAGCGTGGAGGAGGTCGTTGAGGGTTGAGGTGGAAGAGGAGGCACAGTTTGCGCAGAGGTTGTAGTTACTGTAGCAGGCTCCTGAAGGCTTTTGGATGGAGTACAGTTGTTATTACTGTTGGAGGAGGAGACAGAGGAGGAGGACTGCGCAGGTCGCTTTAACGATCGACGCTTTGTTGTGGCTGTGGTGGTCGTACTGGTCGAAGAGGCAGCGGAGGCAACGGCAGTGGAGGAATTTGTTGGTTGGAATCGTGACGACGCTGAGGGTGTTAATTTCGGTAGACTTGCACTTGGATTCGTTGGGAAGGGGGGCTTGATGTCAATGGAGCTACCATCCGGGAGTTCCATTGCAACAACTCCACTACCATTCAGTAATCGAGCCGTCTTGTAAGTTGAAGGAAAAAAGAATAAAAACGACTGATTTTAGTGATGTCGTAAATCACCATAAATAGGTTTGAAAAGAGTGGTTTTAATAAAAAATAAGTACCAAGATAAATTGTTCATTTACAAAACCCCAATTCCAATACAACAAGCTGTTACAACTCTACAGGACCTGCGAACCAACCGGTTTGGAATGCCTCTCATTCATAGCTTCTGCTAAACGTAATGAATAGAAATGCATAAGTGACATGGAAAATAAGAGCCAAATGTAATACCATCAACTATAGTTTCGCTTAAATATCCCTGGCATAGGAAAAAAAAGTGAGTTCGGCTAAAGTTTTCCAAAATGGTTAACCGCATCCAACCGATGCACTGACGTCAATGACAAAAATGACAGCTGAATATGTAGGCCACCGAGAAAATTTCACATTTTAGCTTCTTGGGAAGACCTCGGACTTCTATGGACACTTTGTACACTACCTATTCTAACCTATTTAGAACTGTAGAAATCGACAATTACATTCAAGAAATAAAACAGGATCTTTAATTTTCATAAAATTCGTTATGAAACATAATACCGTCGACGACGAAAACGTCGATCCTCGTTCATCAACCAAAAGGTTGCTTAATGGGCGAAATAAGAAAAGGATAATAACAAACTAGAAAGCTAGATTGGAACAAAAAAGAAATTAGATAAAAACCCCTGTCAATTAGTCTACAGTCTTTGTAACTGCATGAGATCAAAAAAGAAACGCGTCACAAGAGCAAATTGGGCTAACAAAGTGATCGAATAATTAGATACACTCAGCAACTACCCATCCTTCTGCCACCACTGATCGTGGCGTAAGTGCTGATGACAACAATAAAGGAAGTGACAGTAGTAGCAACACCATAAACGAGGTACCAAACAAAAAGATGGACAAAAGGAAAGAAAAGTACAGACACTGTGCGCATTAATGACCATGTGTATAAAGCAATTCTGAACACGCACGAAAGCACGTATGGACACACTGAGTGTCTGACATTTCGGCACTGTGTGGGATTTAGAAACTACCACTCCGAGCTTTCTTTCCGGTTCGAAGTGTGGAGATAAAATTGTAGAGAACTTTATCTCTGCGAATCCCCTTTTCCGCCTCAGTTATCATTCGATCATTCTGAAAGCCGTC